ACAGATGGCTGTGAGCCATCATGTGGTTGCTGGGAATTGAACTCAGAACCTCTGGAAGAAGAGTCAGTGCTCTTAACCTCTGAGCCATATCTCCAGCCCCTGAGAACACCCTTTTGATATTCTGGTTTAACTAAAAAAAAATTGGGGAACCCCCAACAGAGGCAAGCAAGCTCAGAGTTAACTTCTCCCTCTGTGAGGCACAAGCCACTCACCTATGCCTGATACAGTCCCCCAGGCCACAGCCATGGCCAAATGTGCCATCTTGGGTCCAACACCTGGCAAGGCTACTAGCTCTGCCACGGACGCAGGGATGTCCCCTTCATAGCGCTGCTGCAGGATGGCGGTTGTCTGCTTGATGAACTTGACCTTGTTCTGAAAGATAGTGTGGGTCAGCCTTGGGGTGAGGCACAGCTTAATCGGGGAGGACCCATGGGTACCCAGAGTTGCCCAACACTTGCCCTTGTCCCATGTAGAGATATCTACCTGCCCCACCTCTCCAGGAGGTGAGGAACCAAAAGCAGCAAAGAGGGCTGAAGGAGCCCCTAGTAGGGCTCCAGCACATGCCTAGAACTTCCTCCCATTCATGTGAGCCAATGACATGTGTGGGAACCAGCTTGGGTCCCCTGCCTCAGCATTCTCTCCCTAGGACCTAGATTCAGTAGCACCTGGACCTTCAGGAAGGAAGGCTGGAGTCTGGGGCTCCCCCAAGCAACTACCAGACCAGCTGGGTGGTTCCCATCCTGTGCTTGAGTGGAGAGGGCTATTTAAAACCAATCTGATAGACGTGGCCCACATGGTGCCAAGGGGAAGCAGCCCCACCCACGGAGCTGCTTTCAACAGATCCACCCACCACCCTGGGTTCTGTGAAGTAGGGGGGGCAGCCTCTTTGGAGTGGTGCACTGCAGGGAGCCCAGGAGGGGAAGGGGAGAAGGGCAAGGGCAGGCAGCTAGGTGGGAGGATAGAGGAATGTAGAGATGTAAACAGGAAAATCCCAAAAGCCTCAGGGACTGGGAACTAGCCCCACGGTATAGACTCCTGGCAGGGCAGAAGCACGAAAGGCCTCTGTAGTCAGAAATGGCCTGTCCGCCATCTCTGGACCACTGCCCCCTCGTGGCTCTGCTGCCAAGCATACATAAGGCTTACCCTCCAGAAGCCCACAGGGTAGATGAGCCTGCCCAGCATGTCGTCTTCCATCTGCAGGATGTTTTCCACGGTCAAGCCCCGGGCCCGTAGGCGCTGCATGGCACCCGCTGTTACCTGGTCTTTGGTCTGGCTGGAGAGCATCAGCGATAGGAGTACCTGGTATCTCTGCACCTGCTTGTGCAACAACAGGGGCCAGGATGGAGACGGATCTGAGTCAAGTCCCTGATCCATCTCTACTTGGTATCTTAGACCTCTTACCCATCAGGGATAGCAGGGTCTGTCTTGTCACACCTACGTGGACTAATCACCTGCCTCTATAGAGGAGTGTGCAGCCCCAGTGAATGACTTGGAATCATCCCTAGTACAGAGTCGATACCAGACAACCACTGGCTACTGTTGTTACTATTATTACTCGGTCAACGTTAACACTATTCATTTTAGAGACAAGAAGGCCCAGAGATAGAAGTATTCAAGTCATCCAGCAGAGAAGGTGATTAGAGCTAAGACTAGTCTATGGAACCAGTGCAATGTGAGGGGCTCTCCTCAAATGTTCCTGAATGGTGCCAAATGTCACCACTGTGCACGAGGCCTCAAGTCTCAGGCACTCCTGACATGCACAGTGGTCACAGTGAATGACAGGGGATGCATGGTGTCCAGTTCTCTAAGGTAGACTGTACCATGCAGTCTGTAGGGGATGGTGTCAGTTGTGGGAGCTGGCAGGACTTGGTCTGTTTTCTTGAGATCAGAGAGGAAGCAAACGTCTTGCTTCCATGGAAGAACAAGGAATCCCCTGGGCAGGTGGGGAGGTTCTTCCTACCTTTGGGGGGGCACTGGCATCATAGCAGTGCTCGGCGCCCAGCTGGTCCACAGGTGCATCCTTCTTGCTTCTCATGATTCGGATGTTGGCCAGTTGCTGCTGCCAGTTCTGGGGCTCCCACATTGGCATTTTGAGGGGCTCAGCATCTTCATCCTTCTCACCATTGGAAGCCTCATAGGCCACACGTAGCTTCCGCGTCTTCCGTGTCGGGTGGCTTTTTCTTCCTTCTGCTAAAAGTGCCATTCAGTCTTTGGAGCATGAGCTTTATATGAGGGTAGGGAAAGGGTGCTGCTTTCCTGACAAGTCACTTCTCTCTCACTTGTTCGTACAACTGCCCATTATCGACCATGGCGTGTGTAAAAGTGCTCTGTCCCTGTCACAACATGACATGGTAGTCTGACAAAGTGCCTGCTGGCACGCCGAGACACTAGTAATGTCTAATCAGCCTCTAGGATGATGCAACCTTTCCCCTGTCCCATGCCCTTTGAGTTGTATAAAGAGAACCTTTTTTAAAAAAGGTTGATTTATTTATCATGCATATAATGTTTTGCTGGCCTGTACAGACCAGAAGAGGGCACCAGATCTCATTACAGATGGCTGTGAGCCACCATGTGGTTGCTGGGAATTGAACTCAGGACCTCTGGAAGAGCAGTCAGTGCTCTTAACCTGAGTCATCTCTCCAGTCCTTAAGAGAACTTCTTAACACCCAAACTGCACTGTGCCACTCCCCTCTCAGAAATCCTTGTCCTTGGGATGAACTCCAACTCTCCCAACATCAAAGCATTTGCTGCCCTGACAGTATCAACACTTGTCTTCTCCACAGAGAAACCCTGTCTCGAAAAAAAAAAAAAAAAAAAAAACACTTGTCTTCCTTTCATGGCACTTGTCTCTTGCTGAGTCTCAGCCTGGGTTCCAGTCGTCTCCATGACTGAACTGCTTTGGGGCCACTGGTGTCTACTCTTGCTGTAATCACAAGCTTAAATCCTAGCTGGAGACGTACGGGGGCTTTGATAACTGCCCCGAGTACCACTACTTGGAGCATAGTAGGTCCTTAATGGCTACAGAACAAATGTAGTGCCATGCCCTTTCCTGTTTTTGCTAGGGGCCTGTTTTCCTTCAGAACCACCGTCCAGCTGGGGGAGAAAACTTCTGGCTGTTGTGTTCTTGGCACACAGCCAGGCCCTACAAGAAAGAGAGGCAGCTCTGAGGTTGAGCTGCTGTACAAGTAAATGTCCCAAGCAAGGCTGTTGGACTGAAACTTTTCGCTGGTGACAAGGGTGGATGAATGGACACGTCCAGAACCTTTTTTTTTTTTTTTTT